TATTCTAAGGCTTAAAAGGTCATCAAGTTATGTGGATGGGAACCTCATTTATTACCTTATGTGGTTGAATGCAAAGATCTAGAAAGTTAATATAGAAAAGATGCTTAACTTTCACAGAATTCTCCACAAATTGTTAATGGACATGGTTTTAGTATTATTATCTATCCACATTCCAATGATGATAAGGTTACTCAAGTGGATAATAGACGTGTTCACGGGTCAGGCCGGTCTTGTCTATTTATCAATAAAATATAATCAAGCCCGACTAGAAGTTTGAAAACAGAATTTATTTTCTTTTTTATTAAATAAAAAAGTGCTTATTTATATTAAAAACCTTAGAAACTCAAAAATAATAAATATCTCACTATTACTTAAAAAAGAGAAGAAGGACAAAGAAAAATATTGTATACATATATTAAATAAAATATGTTTTTTATTATTTAATATATAGTATCAAATCGGGCTTGGGCTCAGGTTGGGATTTTTTGAGAAAGCTGAGCCCGTGGGCCTAAAATTATGACCAAGCCCAACTTAGAATGGGTAGGGCCAGCCCAGTCCATCGGGCTACTCAATCCATGAATAGGTGTAGTGGATAATCACTCCCCAACTGTTAGACATCAATTTGATCCGTATTTCTCTTGTTCTAGATTGTGGGCTTTTGTGGAGCTAGTGTTGGATTATGGGCTTCTACTACTTTTCCACAACCTTTAGAACTATTCAGATTTGTTGGATTTTCTGAGGTCAATGGTAAAAATCAAATATCCTTAGTGAAAATGCAGTTAACCATTCCTTGGGGAATCCAATAGTCCACAATGCAGACAAGGAAAATCATGTTGGTAATAGGGGAAGCATCAATAGTGATACTAGCTGCAATGGTGCAACATCATCAAAAGAAAAATCACCGAGATAAAATTTGACAATTGCAAGGGAGCCTCCACCAACTAAACAATATTATAGAGCAAGAGTTTCTTTGCCCATTATTAGCCGACATTTGAGAGTTGGATTATCTTTTAAACATGGTGCTAGATATCATATCTTGTTTACTACAACATGCATGAATGAAGAAAATGCACAATTCCAATTGTAGGAAAACAATTTTCCACGACAAGAAAAAGATAATGCTGTCACTCATAATAGGGGTGGGTTCGAACCGAGTCGAGCCAAGCTGAATAGCAAGCTATTCGAGTTTGGCTCACCAAGGTAGTACAAGACTCGAGCTCGAGCTCGAGCTTGGCTCAAGTCAAAAGCTCGTAAGCTCTGCTCAAGCTCAACTTGAAAAAATGTTTTATAAAAATAAAAAATTATATATAAAAATGTTTTCATTTGATATTTAAAAAATTAAGAATTATAAAAGTTAGTTATTATTATATATAAAAATATAATATTTTTATTATATATTATTTTCTATAATTTTATATTATTATTATTATTATTATTATTATTATTATAAAGGTTCAAAATATTGATATGCCCAATATGCTAGTAGGGGCGTATCAGGCGAATCGATACCGTTTTTTTACTTTTTTTATTTTTTTTCAAAGACCGGTTCAGGAGGGCCGATTTAGGGCTCCTCCACCCCCTGAACTGGTCAGACCCCCAATACACCCACTATAGGAGTGTATTGGAGGGGTCCCGGAATGATACGTATCGACCGATATGGGCCGATACGTGTCGATACTTTGAACCTTGATTATTATTATTATTATTATTATTGTTGTTGTTGTTGTTGTTGTTATTGTTGTTGTTATTATTATTATTATTATTATTATTATTATTATTATTATTATTATTATTATTATTATTATTATTATATGTATGTAACTACTCATAATGAAAAAGGTGAAGATCAGTTTTTGACAAATTACTTTTCTCTATTGGCTTCTCATAAATTTGGGCAATTAGATGGTTGATAAAGAAAATTAGATGACACTCAAAGGACATTTGCATTCTTTCACACGCCACTTAACTGTAGTTAATAAATTTGGATTAAATTGGAATATTTTGAAAGTTCAAGTACTAGATTTACACATTTTCAGTTAATAAAATGGGACTAAGCCCTAAATACATGGTACTAATCTGCAATTAACCACCCTATATATATATATATATATATATTAAAACAAAGCGGTCAAGAAATTTTCTCATTTTTTATTTTTTTATTCCATGTCATTTTTGAGACAACCAATGAGATGCACTTTTCCAATAACCAAAATAATCACTTCTCCTAAAATTTTTCCTAAACTACCTCTCCCACTATCCCCGACTTTATGAAAAATTATCTCTAATTCCTATTTATCTCCAAAATTATCTGTAATTTAGTAGATAGTTTTTCTCCTAAATTATCTCTAATTCCTATTTATCCTCTCCCCTACTTGTTACCTATATCTATCTAAATAAAGTTTGGATTAAAAAATTTAAGAATTATTTAAATATTCTAAAAACATTATATAATAACTTTAAAATATTTATTAAAAATACAAAAAATAAAATTATATTTTTACAAAATATATCACGAAATTATGTACTAACAATTTAAATTATGTTTTTTCTGAATCATCAATTTAAATGTTTTTCAAATATTTAATAATATGTAATAGCTTTAAATAAATAAAGTTTAAATGACAAAAAAAATTAAATATTTTATAGATTATTTAAATATTTGAATTACTAAATATTTATCATAACTAGATTTTAAATTTAAAAATTTCTTCAAAGTAGAAAAATAATTATAACATAATATTTAAATTAATAATAACTTAATATTTTACAAAATTAATAATGAAATTATGTAATAATAGTATAAATTATGACTTTATGGATAATTAAATTCAATAAATAATTAATATTTTAAAATTTAAATATTTAACATATTATTTAAGTACTTAAATAACTAAATATTTTAAAAAATAAAATATCTAACATAACTAGATTTTAAATAGTTAAAATAAAGAAATTATGTAATAAATTAAAAAAATCTAAAAAGTAGAAAAATAGTTATAACATAATATTGAAATTAATAATAATTTAATATGTTTACATAATGTTGAAACTAGTTGATTTCACTTATATCAAGTAATAATTCGAGAAAATAAACTTTCAAAAAAGTTGATATTTATTAATAATAATTTTAAACTCTTAATCTGTATTTATTATATAATTATATATACTAAAATTAATATTTATTGTTTTTTGTGATAAATGTGTTTTCAATGATTATGTATATTTTTTTGTTTTGTTATTTAATAGAAAACTTTTAATAATTATTGGAGATTAAATTACTATTATTGAATTTTTTAAATTTATTTTATTTTTCATTATCAATATATTTTTAATAATAGTGTATTTTCACTATAAATTTTCAATAATTATTGGAGATAAAACTATTGTTATTTATTAGAGATGAGACTATTAATTTAGCTGAAATTATGAGTATTCATGAGTTGGTTTGGTTCAATCATATGCTATTTGGCCAACCAAATTGACGTGTGGTCAGGTTATGGATTGAGGTCCCCACCCCGCCTCGACCCTGATTATATCTATCTATCTATCTATATATATAAATGTTATTTATATTAAATATACTATTATATTATTTATATTATATATATATCTAAACATATTTAAAACATTATTTATAATTTATAATTTTATTTATTTCAAATAAATTTATTTAAAAAAATACTATAATCTAAAAACATTTTGGGGATTTGGGTCCCCTCGGGGAACCCATCCCCGTCGGGGATTGGGGATGAGGGGTTAATTTCATAATCATAGTCGGGGATGGGGAATATGATCCATGTCCTATTGCCATTCCTACACACCTTATAGTTTTACATATTTACTTAAACATACCTTATAGTTTTCATTTTACTAAAACATTCCATATATTTTACAACTTATTTACTTAATCAACTTTTCATTAAGGAGTGTTTGTTTTGCCATTAGGCTCATGATTTTTTATTTCAAAAATACCCTTAATACTTTTTTTGTATAAAAAAACAAAATTGACCAAATATAACCAATAAAGTAGTTGCCCGTGTCTTATTAAAGGCAAAAATAGTATTTTTATTTTTATTTTCTTTTGATTAAATTTACTTAAATGAATATTATGATCAATACTATCATTTTCCACTACCATCTAATGGAAGATTCATTAAATCTGTTACAAATTATAAGTGATGTTTTCATAAGATGCTAAATACAAAATAAATTTATAAAATTATAAGGAATATTTTAATAAATTATCCCTTAGGTTTCGCTTAATAAATCTCGTGCATGCACGGCCTTCAATTAGTTTTTTAATAAAATATAATCATATCTCAAACTGTTTCCGTACACCAATTCCACGGCACATTACTCGTAACTTTTCTCATACTTCTTTGTTATATCATTCATGGCAACATGTGGACGGCTGCAGTTTTACCCTTGTTTTTTAGCGTAGGCGGTAGGACCCACATGCCAATACGGAGTTACGGACTGTCCATGAAGCGGCCGATCCGTACGGGAATGCTTGTTCACTGTCCGTCTCTTCTGTTGTTGTTGTTGTTGAGTGCTTATCAGTCGTTATCCTTTTTTTTATTTTTTTAATCTCATTTCTTAATAAAAAATCCAAATATTTAATTTTTGTCCACGTGGCTTGAGCGCTATTGGGCAATTAAAGAAGGGAGTGACAGCAATATGATAAGCCACTGGAAGTGTATTGACAGCTCGACCAATTTTCCACGTGGAAGCCGCTGGCGTTGTGAATCTCTCACTAGCAAACGATCCACGTGGGATGTTAGTCCCACCTGGGAATCCAAATTTCCCAAATAGGCGGCGGAGTGTTGTAGTTAGGAGTAGAATCGTGGGTCCGGTTTGTCGGAGACGGAGACGGAGACGGAGACGGAGACGGGGTCCATCCAAAGACTCCATAGTCCAAGGACGCGCGGGAGGAGCGGCTCCCGATACAAGGGCAAAGTTGTCAGGAAACTGTGGTGAGGACTGAGGAGTGAGAAGACAATGTCTCCACTCCACCAACCAATTTCTGGGTTCTTTACTTTATTTGTTGTTGTAGAAACGAAACTAAACTGGAAGAAACGGATGGGAAACTGTTTTCGTCTCTCATCGCTTCTTCTATAATTCGGAACCCTAACGAACGGAATCTTATACCTTTCTGACTCTGTGTGTGTGTGTGTGGAAAGGTGCGACGTGGTAATCTCTCAGTCTCTTCCCAGCTTCCTGGAAAGACAATCTATGTTTTTCTTTTCTTTTTCCAGTCTTTCTTTCTAAACCTACCTTTGACTTTCCGACGTTTTAATCGGTCAGTCGAAATTTCAGGGTTTCAGTCTGCTAAGAAGAAGGAGAAGCAGAAACAAACAGCTCCATATTCGAATCTATCTCTGTGAAAAGGTGAAGCCTTTCTATTTCCAGCGCAACCGATTTTTTTTTTTTTATTTCATGGCAAGTCGTTCTTGGATCTGTTTCTCGATTCTAGATTATTAAGCTTGATTTATTCGGAATTTTTTGTCATATCGATGTTCTTAGAGTGACAGTTGTGTTAAGTAGACTATATTTTCCCTAGAAATCATTACTTTGTATTTACGCTGGCTATCTTTTTCGTTCATCCATTCAAATTCTAAAAATGAATAATTCTATACTATAGTCAGCCTCCTGGTTCCTGTTGATTTCTTTAATCTATTTTATTGGGTTCTTATGTTTTGTTTCGCTTTTTTCCAGGTTTGACTAAATGATAATAAACTTAGAGTTGCTTCTGCATTGACAAAACTGTAGCTCCTAGTTGGGTTTTTATATGGTATGAAAAAAATTAGGGGTCCGTAATGAGTATAATAAGTAGGAGAGAAGTGGAAATTAGTCAGATTACGTTACGTAGCTTAATTCTGTGGTCAATTTTTTTCTTCAATCCTAGTAGAAATATTATACAGTCGGCCAATGTTGATGCAGTAAAAGAAAATTGATTATTCATTTTTTTGCTAATTTTATTTCATGTTGGCTATACCCACTTTTTTGTTTTGTTAATCGATAGTTAATAAGCTCATCTTGGAGTCTAAAGCAGTAAAGCATTCTCTGTACAAGTATTTGCCTTCTTGGTTGATCTGAGTGGAAAAGAAACTATGACATCTAGAAGACTTATTACTTCTCTTTGTGGTTAAAATATTTATGTATGTACCTGCCATATATAGGATCACAAACCACATAACAGTTTGCAAACAGGTGTATGATTTCTTTTGTAAAAATGTTTGCTATTGAGTATGTGAACATGAAAGGTAGGAAGAGAAAATAATAACTGATTGTGCATCCTCAGAATCTCCTCTTGGAGGGGAGCCTATGGTACAGACTCATCATGAGAAATTTGACAAGTGGATTGGACAAGAAAGGCATAGACTTTAGCTATGAGGCTGACTAAGGTTAACCGTGGGTTACAGCACAATAGTTTCTTCAATGAATCTTGTTTATTTTCTTGATTGTTTGGAAGGCTCTATTGTTTTTCTTTATAGATTATGTACCACTGACATGGTGGTTCAGTGCTTTCTTTCTGAAGGGAGCCCAAGGGCTATCTGAAAATTGTTTACTTTTTATGAGTGGAGTAGATGGTTTGCAATATTTACGGAGTATTTACGCACATTGTCCCTCCCATCCTTTATTTTCTTGTTGGTAATGACTTTTTCACCCCTAACTGGTGCACACTCTGTAAGGCAAATGGTGAGACTGCTTATCACATTCAAATTTCCTGTCCGTTTGTAACCTCCATCTGGGAGTGGTTCCTTGACCTCTTTGGGTGCAGGTGGACTCTACCTCTAGTCTGTTTGCAGATTATTTTTTAGGTAACCAAGGAAAAGGGGAAGAATATTCTGGAGATGCATTAGGACTGCAGTTGTTTGGACAGTTTGGGAGGAAAGAAATGCAAGACACTTCAAAGATGAGGAGAGAAATCTGGATACAATCTTAGATTATATCCTCCTAAGGGTGATTCATTGGGTTAAGTCCATGGATGTGTTCTCTCCATTTTCCTTTGATGATATAAAAGAATTGGAGGGAAGTGGCCTATTCGTCTACAAGAAAGAATGGAGTAGTTCATGTTTGGGAGCCACCATCAGAAAGCTTTATAAAATTCAATTTTGATGGGAGTGCTTTGGCAACCCAGGCCCTTCAGACATAAGAGGGGTTTTCAGGGATAAAGAGGGAACTATCTTAGCTTTATTCTCAGGTTCTATTGCCCAAGGAGATTCAACCAAGGCTGAACTGTCCGCTGTACTGTATGGGGTCCAATTAGCAGAAAAAATAAATTTCACAAGTCTCTTAATAGAAGGAGATTCCCGAGTAGTAATAAGCTGGTTAAAGAATGGAAAGAAGGCAGCTTGGACTTACTGATATTTGGTAAATAAAATTAAGTGGCATCTGAGAGGCGTAACAGTATCTTTTCAATGGTTTCCAAGGGCTGCTAATGGGATGGCAGATTCTCTAGCAAGGCAAGGGGTTGAAAGGGAACAATTATTTTGGGCTCAGCTGTTTTAAGGAGCAAGTGTTAACCTGCTCCTGCGGGTAAGGGATGGGTAGGGAGTGATTGTATTGGGCTTAGTTGTTACATATGCTTTAAGGGGTACTCATTCCCTGATTGGATCCCTTTCTGTATATTCTTGTTTATATAATGAAATACTTTCTTTTACCTATAAAAATGTCTTTTTCACCCTCCTCTTTAATTTAACAGATTTGTGAAATGGTGGAATACATTTAACATTTGGCAATGTGGGGAAGTGCTTTTAGCAGATACACCTTGTGTGATCAATATCATTCTGTGGGTGTACCTGGTTGGTTTGTTATGTTTTTATGAGTTAGCTTTGAATATGATGTTTAAATAGTTAATTCACTATGCTGTAGATTTTATTTATGATGTTTATAGCTTAAACAGTTTGGCATATAGAGGACTTAAATGTAAAAGGATACCACCTTCAAAATGCTCTAACCAATTGGGCTAATAAACTTTTTGAAATATTTTTATACTTTCATATTTTTTATCAGCAATAATAAAACATACTTTTATTGATATAAGAGAGAAAACCCCAACCATTCTGAAGTGCTTGAAATAGAGTGGACCAAGTACGAATTACAAGACAATCCAAGGCTGACATTATTACAATCTCAAGAAATGCATTAGCAAGTTACAGTTTAATCTCTAGGCTTGGTCCAATTCCAAATATTCCCTTGTTATCCCATCACTTGCTAAAGTCTCAGAAAGACCATTTGCAGATCTAGGTATCCACCTCAATGAGCAGTCCATGTTGGAAGACAGATTTTGCTTCTCTTTTTCAGAAGCATAAGAATTCAAGGGCCTCTTGGCCCTCTCCCTTTCTGAAAACCAACCTATTGGCTAATGGCTATTGCAACTTTGACAATCCCCATCCATTATGAAAGCATTTCGGTCATTGGCAAGGATCAAAATTTCGATACATATTGGATTTTTTATTTTTACTCTTCAAAAAATTAGTTCGGGTGTGCACCTTGCCTTCAATCTCATGATCTAGGAACCCCATGTGCTTTAGTTGTGCTTTTCACTTTTAAAACACTATCCTCAAGGACCTCAACTGATAGTCAATCAACTAGTCATCGGCTTGTTGGTACTTAACATTGCTTGGCACAATGAAATGGTTTCAACTTTTTTTTGTTTTTGATAATTCTGGTTTCAACTTCAAATACAGCAAATGAAGGATTATGCTTCTACGAATTGAGCCCAATAACAAGTTTCAGTGAGGAGAGAGGGATATTTCTTTTGGAAATAAAAAAAGAGATAAAATTAAGATTATTTGAAGAGACTTTCTTTTCTTTTTCTTTTATGAATCTTTGAAGAATTTTATCTAAATAAAAACAACAATTGAAGAGGACAAGAAAAGAGATGCTTTACGTGCAATGCATTCTCCTTCTAGCTTTTTTTCCCTATATTATTCATAAATTTGGCATGAGTATTGGGTTTTGACTTTTGAAGTTGATTGAATGACCTGGTGTCATGAGTTGGTGGGTAGGCTGTCAAGAAGCTGATCTAACTCATGCTACTATTATGATTTGCTTAGCATAAGTGACATCTAAACTTTATATTGGAGCTTCAAAGCCAAGCCCAACTATCAATCTCTGTTCATTATGCTAAGCAAGCCTGAGTTGTCCTGTCAGAACATTTTATATACTTGCTAAATTAAAAATAACTAGTATATTATTGAAGTTATTGTTAAATTTCATAAGTGATTATGACTTTTTATGTCTTGGGGTTGAATCACCTAAACAACTCTAAATCCATACCAAACTCTTTGCCAACATTAACTGAGCCTGAGCTTATGGATGACCTAAGATCATGGATGTTACTGACGTTTTGAAGCATACTTCTAATGGGTTATTGTAAAGTGTGTCTTGTCTCTCTCTAGGAACTCTGATGCTAAAAAGGCAGATGCTTTAGTGCACTTTTAAATAAATTTATAGTGGAGCATAAATTTTGAATCTTGAAGTTGCAAGTGAGTGAAGTAGTACAATTGGGTGGACCTACCTGATTTGGGAAATGTTTTGTTGGATTTTCCATTATCATTAGAAAACTCAAGAATTGGGTCTGGCTACTGCAATTAATTTTCTCTTGTACAGGACTCTGCTGAAAATTTTCAAATTTGCAATATTGTTTCCATTTTCCCACATTCTAATACTGGAATTGTATATTTTTTTTTACTGAAAAAATGTATTTATGTTCTCTTGCAGTGGTTTTAGTTGAAGTTGCTCAACTTAGCTCTTGAGAGACTTGCATCTGGTTTATATTAAAAAAGAAAACTATGAAAAGAAACAAGTTAACTCATGAGCTAAGTACAATACCATGAGACCTAAACAGAGAAATGGAAAAAGATGCCTATGGTTTTGATGTCCATTAGATGGTGTGCTAATTTCCATGGTCCCATACCATTGACATTATATAATTTCACCTATTTTTTAACCTAATTGTGTTATTTTCTACCAGAAGGTGACCATCATGACCATGAGCTATTTATTCATTTATTCTCTCTCTCTCTCTCTCTCTCTCTCTCTGTTACCAGATCCAGAAGGATAAAATCATCTTGCACAGTGCAGAATGGATCAACAAGCTCATGGACAGCCCCCAGTAATGGGGGTGGTTGGTGGTAGTGCTCAAGTGCCATATGGCACAACTCCATATCAAGCTAACCAAATGATTGCAGCCAATCCTCCAGGATCAGTTGGATCTATTCAACCTACTGGTCAACCAACAGGTTTCACTGGTTCCCCAGCTCAGCTTGCACCACACCAACTTGCTTATCAGCACCTCCACCAGCAGCAGCAACAACTGCAGCAGCAACTCCAGGTTTTTTGGTCAAACCAATACCAAGAAATTGAGCAGATCACTGACTTCAAGAACCACAGCCTTCCATTGGCAAGGATCAAGAAAATCATGAAGGCTGACGAGGATGTAAGAATGATATCAGCAGAGGCTCCTGTCGTATTTGCCAGGGCTTGTGAGATGTTCATCTTGGAGTTGGCACTGCGTTCATGGAACCACACTGAGGAGAACAAGCGTAGAACACTCCAGAAGAATGACATTGCTGCAGCAATCAAAAGGACTGATATCTTTGACTTCCTGGTTGACATTGTCCCCAAGGAAGATTTGAAAGATGAGGTACTTGCCTCAATGCCCAGAGGAGGAGCACTGCCTGTTGGAGGTCCTGCTGACCCTCTTCCTTATTATTACATGCCTCAACATTCACCACAGGTTGGAACTCCTGGGATGATCATGGGTAAACCTGTGGTGGATCAAGCTTTGTATGGACAGCAGCCTCGCCCTTACATGGCTCAACAAATATGGCCACAACCACCACAACAACAGCAGCAGCAACCACCCTCAGATTCTTAAGCTGGAGAAGAATGGTCATAGCAGACATTTGGAGAGGAAAGTAAGTGAAAACTCATCATGCCAACTGTAAATATTTTTGGTAAAGGTTGAAAGTGGTAATATCAGCATGCTCATTTTATGTTTTGAGAGAACTAGGGTGGTATTTCTTGTTGCATTTCATTTATGTTCATTTAAATATTCAGTGATCACCTAGATTTTTTTTAATGGACTCTCATGTGTGTTATTTCCTTGTTCAGTTCAAGATATCAACTTTCATGTCTCCAAATCTATGACAACCAGATTTTTTGTTGTCCTCTAGTAGTTTCTCTTTAGAGGCATCAATGTGTATGTTTTTGTCATTTCAACCTTCTGAGTGTGCATTATCTATCTATTTCTGTAGTCATTTGCATATTGGATGGATAGGTTATTTAATCTGTCCATGTTCATGTACTACTTCTACATTAACTTTTTGGGTTCTAATCATGTGGTAATTTCTGGTTACAAGGTGAATAAAATTGAAGTTTCTGAAGAACTTCTTACACTTCTGACTTCTCTGAACTAAAGAGGGGAAACAAGACCTTTAGAAACTATGGAAAAGAAGATGGAGAAGATGGAGAGGAGAGGTTCGTGGAAGCAGCAAGATGGAAGAACGTTCTGAAGGTTGAAGCTAAGGACTTTTTATTTGAAGAGATGAGGATCAAAGGGTTGCCGAGCATGAAATCTGGGAGGCAAAGAAGGCTACGGTCTTACTGGTGGGACTGAAGTGATATAATGGCTGAAAGAGTGTGATGGGAGAGAGCTCCAAAGGTAAGAAAACAAACTATAGGGAGCTTGGTTTAGAAGGAAGAAGAAGGTACAGGGTGGAATGTAAAAAGAATGCCAAAGGTTCATTTATTGCACTTTAGGAACATTTTGGGGAAGGAAGCACTACCTGAAGGAAGAAAGGGTCAAGGCTGGAAGCAAGTTGTAGGGTTGCTCAGTGATTTCTTACTCCGGATGGAAAAGATTGAAACACCAAAAAGGGGAAAAAGAAGTTGATATGAAGAAGGGAAGGAGCATAGTCTAGTGGTTGTAGAGAAGGGAAGAGGAAACTGCAAATTGATAACAAATGGTGGAAAGGAGGAATGGGGGAGAAAGTTTGTGATCAGGACATCAGCCCAACCGAAAGATTGGAAAAGAATAGTAGAGGTGATCTTGGAAGAGGTAAAGTTGAAAGAATCGATTGTATTGAGGACGATGTTATTGTTCACTTGCTAGGTCTGCCGTTCCACCTTTGGAGTGATGATGTGTTACAGTCAATAGCTTCAATCTGTAATGCCAAATTAGATGGATTCTTCGTTTACAATCTCCACTCCGTTGCTCTCAAGTGGAGCTAAACCTGATGATATCCCAAGAAGGCTAGAGGTTGTAATAGATGGACTTTCTTACCCTTTTGGATGGTGACCTCCATTGAAATGTAGTTGTGGAAGGAGGGTTGGAGGGTGGAGATGAAGAGATAGAGATGACCTATTTACTTGGGGTGCAAGGTGAGGAATTTAACATTAACGTGGCTAAGAAAAAAGTGGAGAATAAGAAAGATAAGGAGAATATCGATGTTTTAAGTAACCTAGAGAGTAGCTCTAGATAGAATAGCAAATCCTATGCAAAGGTGGTGATGGGTGGAGTTAAATCCAACAAAGACACATGTTTAAACCAGAGGACCGGCCTTTTGACTCGAGCCTGGTTGCAAGTTTGAACCAGAGGGCAACATGCGACTCTTTTAACGATAAGAGAAGGATGTATTTAAAAGGAAAGGCCCAAGGCCCAATTGAGACTAATGGGCCATTAAAACAAAATGGTATGGGCTTTAAATTAAAAGAGCTACATGCCACCTTAAAAGGGCATGTGACCAAGAAGAGTGGGGCGACGATGGACACTATTATTGGGCCATCATCATCCCCTTCGACCAAAACTTGCAGGTTGGTCTCGGGAAGCAGAAACGAGGTAGCGATTTCGAACTGATCTTGGGTTTCAAGTAAGGGCAAACAAGTCTGTTCGCTAGAACGTCGTAACCCCAAGTTTAGGAAGCCCCCCTCGAATGCTTAGGTGGTAAATTTCGAAGAGATGGAGTGGGTTAAATGTAGTGAAATTGAAAAGGTTGAGGTAGGTAGTTTGATAAAGGAAAAAGGTCAAAAACTTCTTTAGATTCAAAAACTGAGGATACTATTAGCCTTGGTAATGTGGAGTTGCTACGGTAGAGGGACTTTTTTAGTGAAGAAAGTTTCTACACCGAGTCAAGGTGCAACTAACCCAAAAATTAATCTCGTTCCTTCAGAGCAGCCTAATCTTGACAGTGGTTCAGAGGGGCACAATTGTTTATTGCTATGGAACATAGAGTTAGTGGTTGAGGGACAAACATTCTAAGGAGGATTTGGATGTCACGACTAACACTGTATTGATTGAACCTAATACACTTGCACAATTATTTCAGGCAAAAGGGATGGCCCTAAACCTGATTCCCGTCACTGGGAAGTCAGATCCTTCACCCACTTTCCCCATTGGCCCAGGTATATTTATCAATTCGGTTATGGTATTAATGTGGGATCTCTGTCTAAAACAGGTATTTTGGCTCCTCAACAAGATGAAACAGCTAATGGAGGGGAGTTGTGCGGGTGGGTAACGGTTGTGAAGAAATGGAGGGAGAGCTTGGTTTGAGAAAGATATAGGAGGAGGAATTAGAGAGGATTTGGGATCAAATTTGTGCTCATCTTGAGGTGTACAAGCATATAGAGGAACTGTTGGAAGGAAATCCAAGTAAATTTGAGGTTCAAGAAGGGGAAATTGAGAGTGAAGTTAAGGGTGGTGACAACAAGGGGGAGAGCTTCTTTCAAAAAAGTTACAAGAGGAGAAATTAGAGAGGATATGAGGACAAATTTGAGCCCTCCTCGAGGGGTATAAAAATACCAAAGAATATTTAGAGGAAAACCCAACAAAGTTTGAGGAATCAAAAGAGTTTAGAGTGTATCCTAGAAAATCTGGGATAGGAAACAACCAAAGAAAAAAAGAAAAGGACAGAGGTAGAGAGACTGATTTCAAACATAGACGGAGATATTGAATTTAGTGGAAGAGGAGAGAGAAGGAAAGTCTCTAAGTGGGGCATTATAGCCCTAGGTGAGTTGTCATCTTTTAGTTCCCATGAAAATCATCAATTAGAATGTGAGGGGCTTAGGTGGTGCAAGGAACAAAAGGATAATTAAGGATCTTCTTGGAGGAGAAAGGTTGAACATTGTAATGATACATGAGACCAAATTAGCTGAGCTTGATAGAAGATGGGCTGGAAGTGTTTGGAAGTCAAGAGGAATAAAGTGGGTTTCTACACCTTCTTCGGGGGCCTCAAGGGGTATTGTCACTTTTTGGGGAAATGATGTTGTAGAGGTAGTGGAGTTAATTGGGAATTTTTCGATGTTTGTAAAGTTTAGATTGGTGGAGGATGGCTTTACTTGGGTGTTAACAAATGTGTATGGACCAAGTAATTATATGGAGAGGAATGAGCTTTGGGAAGATTTTTTTTTTTTTTTATCAATAAGCTTTGGGAAGAATTATTTGGGATCCAAGAACTAGGGGGGTCCTTGGTGTTTGGGTGGGGATATCAATGTAATTCAATTTATTAATGAGTCCAATAATCCCCAACAAACTCTTACAATCGGCATAAGAAGTTCAATGATTTTATTAATAGTTGTGAGCTCCCTTATTGCAAGCTCACTTAATGTGGTCCAGTTTCCTGTAAATTCCAGCTTGCTCGAAGTAAGATAGATTTCTCTTTAATGAAAGTTGGGGAATTCATTGGAGGGATCTGTTAACCAAAGCTCCACCCAAGTTACTTTTGACCGTTGTCCCATTGTACTTTATAGGAATCATTTAGGTGTGGACCTTGACCTTTTAGATTTGAAAATATGTGGTTGACACACCTGGATTTTTTGAAGAAAGTGGAGTGGTGGATTGAAGAGATGAGGAGGGTGAAGTGGAAAGGGGTAAGATTCCATAAGAAGTTGAAAAGTTTAAGAGCAAAGTTAAAAGAATGGAAGAGAGGCCAATTTGGGAGAATTGAGGAATTGAAATCAACTTTGATGTCCTAGGTAGAGGAATTGGATGTGAAGGAATATAAAAGAATAATGATTTGACAAGAAAGAGAATTAAGATGGAGGTTGAAGAAGGAATTAGAAGAGGTGATGGAAATACTAAATTCCTCCATGAAGTAGCCAATGGAAGGAAGAAAAACTTGGTGACTAAACTTGAAGTGGATGGATTAGAATATGATTCCCAAGAGGAAATAACCAATTACCCTTTTTTTTATTTCTTTCAAAGGGCTACACAACAAGGGTTAGTCCATCCCCCAACACAGGTGTAGACGGGATTCGATCCCAAGTCTCTGCTATGACCAATAACTCATTTTAAATCTATTATGAGGAAACCACTAGAAAGTAGAGTGGAGTTGGCTGGTTTGGTGTGTTTGAAGAAAGATAAAGGTTGGTTGGAAAGGAATTTTTAGGAGTAAATCTAACAAGCAATATTTTTTAATGGATAGATCCAAGTTACCAAGGTTGGATGGTTTTACTATGGCATTCTTCCAAGATTGTTGGAATATAATCAAAGATGATTTGTTTGAGGTTTTTAGAGAGTTTGAGGATAGGTTTATCATTAGTCATGGAATCAATGCTACTTTTCTAGCCCTAGTTCCAAAGAAGAAAGAAGCCAAACATCCCAAAGATTTTAGACCAATCTGCCTCGTGACTAGCATCTATAGGATTTTGACTAAGGTATTGTCTTTGAGTATCAAAAAGGTAGTTCCCTCCCTCATTAGTCAAGCTCATAGTGCCTTTGTTCATGGTAGAAAAATAATTGATCAGATCTTAATAGCAAATGAATGTGTGGAGGAGATAAAAAGATTGGGTAATCAAGGTTTTGTATGCAAATTAGATCTTGTAAGTTCTTACGATTTGGTGGATTGGAGCTTCTTGTTAGAGGTGCTACGGAAGTGTGATTTCGGAGACATGGTGTAATTAGATAAGTGGTTGCATCACT